GGGATCATGACCTGAGCCGAAGGCAGACGCTTCACCGACTGAGCCCCCCAGGCGCCCCTAAAGATTTTATTTTTAAGTAATCTCTGCACCCAACGTGAGGCTCCATCTCACAACCATGAGATCAGGAGTCCATGCTCTACTGACTGAGACAGCCAGGTGCCCCAAAACATATTCCTCATTTGAAAAATTCTTTATGGATTGGCAGTATATTCTTAATTCTGTCAGGCATAAAAAGGGCAGATGTTAAAATGGCATTCAGAAATCCTGAAACACACCCTGATGAGTCACTTTTTTAGGCTGGGGGTCACTTTTTCACCTTGCTGATTAATGAGTAGTTTCCTTGTTTACTCACCAATCCCTTCTTCCCGGCTCCTAGTTCATACTACTGAGTGTTCTGTGTTCGAAATAAAGAAGTAAATTCGTTACCTGATAAGAAATGGGCCCTCCCTCCATTAAAATAACTGTGGTGTAGTCATAGGCTAAAAAGTTCCCCCTTATCCATTAGACCTTTTAGTTTCAAATCCTCTCCCTGCAGCAAGTAAAATTTGTGTGTGTAGGTTTGAAAATTCCTGTATTACATGACTTATCAGGAAAGTGTTTGGTCTTCCAGTGAGTGGGGTTTCTATCTGATTTTATCTTTATTTACATTTACTTAGGTCAAAGCAACTACTTTCACAGAATTCGGCTCCCCCCCCCCAAGGAAAAAATAAAACAAAATCCCAGGAATACTGACTGAATAAAGCAAGAAACTTGTGCCATGTGCTCTGCCCCTTCTATTTCTCAGGCTCACTACAGCTTTCTTGAGTCACCAGCACATAATTTCTTTTTATAAGGCTCAAGATAAAATGATGTAGTTAGAATAGTTCCTTTTTGGTTGTTTCAAAAAACAAAAACCTTCTGCGGCGCCTGGATGGCTCAGTCGGTTGAGTGTCTGACCCTTGGGTTCGGCTCAGGTCATGATCACAGGGTCCTGGGATCGAGCCCACGTCAGGCTCCATGCTCAGCGGGAGTCTGCTTGGGATTCTGTCCCTCTCTCTCAAATAAATGAATAAATAAAATCTTAAAAGAAAAACCTTAATTCTGTTTCAACTAATAGATCAGAAGTTGGAACTGTTCTTCAAATCATCACAAGTTGGTGAAAGTGAGAAGAACTTGCTCTGGGCTATGTTTCTTTTTTCTTTTTTAGTTTTTAATTTTTTTTTTTTTTTTAAGTAATCTCCGTACCCAACGTGGGATCAAACTCACACCCTGAGATTAAGAGTCCCTCGCTCCACTGAATGAGCCAGCAAGGTGCCCCTAAGCTATGTTTCTAATGATTATCTGTGACATAATTAACACAAGAAAACTTCTGGTGGTTAATTTGTACAAAATAAAGGTAGATGGTTAAGGGTGGTTATGCACATCTTCAAAATTAAAGAAAGGCTTTTTGGTAAATGGTAGCCCAAAGTAGCCACTATTGTTTCACACATTTTAACAATCTAACATCTGAGAATAGGTTAAAACCCTTAAAACGTAGCTAATTTTGTAAGAAAAATCTTAACTGTAATTTTAAATTAATTTATTTAGAGAAAGAGAGTGTGGGGGCAGACAGAGAGAGAGAGTGGGGGTACCAGGGGAGTGGGGAGAGGGAAAGAGAATCTAAAGCAGGCTCCACGCCCAGCACAAGCTGACGTGGGGCTTGATCCCTCGACCCTGAGATCATGACCTGAGCCGAAATCAGGAGTCAGACACTCAACCGACTGAGCCACCCAGGTGCCCCATTAACTGTAATTTTTTAAAAGGAAGATCTATAGTATGTATAATCACTCACCCAAATTCTTAAAATTTTATCTTTCTACATTCTCTGTGGTATCTGGCCGCATTGTAGGCATTTTTAAGTAATTCTAAACATCATATATAATTTTTCATTCTTCTTACTTTAGTTAGTACATCGTAAACCTGTTCTCTGAAATGCTCTGTATCCCTTATAATTGTCTAACAGCTGTATATTCTGTTCCCTGGATTACTGTAATTTAAGTGTTGTGTTATTGTTGAATAGTGAGATTTTTTTAAATTTAAATAATACAACATAAGTAGGCATAACACCATTTTTCTTGCCAAGATAATTTTTCAGGGTTGTATTTCAGAGAGATTTCATTGGGAAGAGAATGAAATAGCAACTCTTTTGAGCTTGTTGGTTTTTCCATGAAAGACAGTGCGAAGGTATATTTTGGTTTTGTAAACTCCAGTCCATTTTGCTTTATCTTGATTATAGACTGTGATGGAATTTAACTCAACTCCTGGCCCAGCCTAAGGAGTTGAAATAAGTCTACTTCATTACCTTTTGTTCTGTTTTCTTCTAAGTCAGAAGTGAGCTCTAAAATAATCTTTTCAGTTGGGCGTCTGCCTTTGGCTCAGGTCATGGTCTCGGGGTCCTGGGTTCCAGCCCTGTGTCAGGCTCCCCACTCAGTGGGGAGTCTGCTTCTCCCTCTCCCTCTGCCCTACTTGTGCTCTCCCTCTCTCTCTCTCTCTCAAATAAAATCTTCAAAAAATAAAATATTTTCTTTATCTCAATGTAACTGTTATACTTTGCAGTAAATATATACCTGAAATACGCACCTGGCTACAGCTGGTTACTGTATTGCCATGTTATAAATTTGTAATTGAACCTCAATAATTTGTAAGTTATTACATGACGGCAATGAATTTACACTCGGGCTCAATATGTAGTAAGTTGAAAGTATGAATATAAAAATGTTTTCTATAATGTCAGTCATTAATTGAAATCGCATTCTAAGAGTTGGATTTTGAAGTGAGAGTTACCTTTTCGTTAGTAAATACAGAACTATGATAATCCTGTTGGAAAAGCTTTAGGGGAAGTTACTGCTCTTGTTGCTAATTGTCTAGTAATACTGTTTGCTCAGTAGCAGAGACCGATGGCAGGTCCACAGGTTGCTGAATTGTTCCGATTTTTTAAATAAGGTCAGTGCCACAGTTTGGTTTTTTCCTCATGTTTATTTTTTCCAAGTATTGCATGAGTTTGTTCTTGCAGAAAAAAAAATTCATATATAAACAAGCATATATAAATGGGAAACTCTCCTTCAGTCCTCATCCACTAGTTTTGCCGGTTCTTTCCCTAGAGGCAATCCCTCTTAACAGTTGGGTTTGTCCTTCCACACCTTTTCCTTGGAAAGTTCGGATGTCACAAGGAAGACTTCAGTTCTCTGAGAGGCTCCTTGGATCTCCTGTCTTGTGACTCCTGGATTTTGTTATTTGCATCTACCTTCATGTAAGGGTACCTGGAGAATATGCATGTGGGTGTGTTTACGTGCTGTGTTTTGTCAATTCTAAGACTCACTGTTATCTTACATGCTATTATTTAGAAAGAAAAAGCACTCTTGTAACTGTAGAATACTGGATTGTAAAACCGAATCTGATTTAAGAGATGTTAAAGCATGTGGTCGGGGGAGTGCTCGAATGGATGGGATAGATTGTGTGCTGCGATTCTATATCGTTTTCTGCAACTTGCTTTGGCACTTAGTGTTTCCTATAATTGCTTTATTTATACCACAGTGTGAATATATCACATTATTTAGCAGTCTCTATTGAGGAACTTGTAAATTGTTTACCGTTACAAGAAAACAGCTGTATCCCCCAGTATCAAGGATGGGCCACAAGAATTGGAATGATGGGGTCATGGGGTGTGCACATTTTTACCTTTGAAATAAACTGCTGAATTGTCTTCCAAGATAACAGTGTATACTTTCAACATTAGTATAGGAGAGTGGATACCTCTTTGTTCCATTCTTACCAACTCTTGATGTTACCTGACTTGTTTGACCTATAGGACGCCAGAGGCTTTGGTATCTAATGAAAACTTCACATTTCCTTGACTGGTGAGGTCAAGGATCTTGGGATGCTCGTTGGCAACTTCTATTTTTTTTCTCCTCTGAGTTTCCTGTTCATAACCTTTAACCCACATTCTTGTCTCAGCAGTGATTTTATTTTGGTGACTACTATGTGCATGGATAAAATACGTAGGCAGTATCTACTCCTTTCTACCTTTTTTTAAGTGGTAGTCTCTTTTGTTAGAACCAGTCAGTAATTAATGCTACCATTTATCAGAGAAGCAGAACTGTTCTCTAAGGATTTCCCATTTTTACCAGCACCCACTTTCATACGGCTTTGAATGGTGGTGGTAGCTAAGTCTTTACAGGTCAAAATTGGCTTCACTCTTCATTGCCCGTTGGAGCCTGCCAGAGCCAACCATGCTATGAAGGAGGGGAAAGGATCTGCTAGCTATCGTCAGTACTACCCCGTTACCTCTGAAGGAGCAGTGGACTCCTCACTTCCTTGATGAACAGAGAGGTTCAGTGTCTGACAGCTAGGAAAGATCTGAGAGGAGATTTACCTCTCATTTCAGAGCCCCTTCACCACATCGCACTGCCTCAGTGGGACCGATGTGTTTGACTATATAGCCTTTCAAGGTACGTGTAACCTCTTAACGCCTGATCATCTTAAAGGTGACTGATGCAAAATTATTTTTTAAACTTTTAAAAAACGATTGTTACACAACTTTTGAATGGGTAGAGGATGTCCAGCAGAACAGTTTGTGTGTCTGACTGTTAGCTTGACAGATGGGTTTCTCTGCAGAAGTTTGAACGTAAATACTGGTACTCGGCTTCATGGAAAAAATCTCTGCATAAAGGATTTCTGTCTTAGGCTCCGACTGTTAAAATTTTGTATTTGAAATACAAATGCCACCATAAGATTTGTATCCATCACAGGCCGTGTGTGGCATCCCTTACAGTGGACCTTCAACGTAGAACACCGAAAATACGTTTTTTTGCCAATTCTAATTGTTTTCATGTTTCTTTATCTTGCAGAAAAAGATGGCAAAGCCTTTCATCCAACTTATGAGGAAAAACTGAAGCTTGTGGCACTGCATAAGCAGGTTCTTATGGGTCCATATAATCCAGACACTTGTCCTGAGGTTGGATTCTTTGATGTGTTGGGGAATGACAGGAGGTAACCGTGTTTTGTTGTATAATGACCTTAGAGTAGTGTTAAGAAGAGCGCAGAGTGAATCGGTTAAGATGCAAACGGCTGGTTCCTTAGCTTAGAGGAAGACTGAAACAGCCATTTTTGCTTGCAGCTTCTGGAGTCTTCAGATGTGTATCTGTTTTTGGCTTGGAGAGGTTTATGGATAAATAATATAGAAGAAGTTTACTCATCTGATTATGAACATAAGACAAGTACAACTTCATTTGATTCTTCCTAAATAACATTAAAAGCAGCCACTTAAAATACATAATCATTGCTTTCCTTACTGGGACATTCACAGAGTGGTGACAGAAAACAGTGCCCTGAGAACTGTATTCAGTTAAGACTAAAATGTGACAAAAGGAAAGTCAGACTCAGATACCCCTTTGCTTGTATGGAAGTTAGCAGCAGTGCAGCTGAACTGTAGTTTACAGCAGTAGGTGTGGATTGTGTGTGGCACACATAATTTAATACATCGATAATGCCTACTGGTTGAAACTTGAGTTTTGAGCTTTTTGCTTATGGTAGAATCATGCTGCATTTTAGTTGTCGTTGAGAATTTTTCACATTTAGGCTTAAATTAAATCACATTCTTACTCTCTTAGGAAGAGGCAGTAATGACTTTTCTTGTTATTCCTTCCAGGAGAGAATGGGCGGCCCTGGGAAACATGTCTAAAGAGGACGCCATGGTAGAATTTGTCAAGCTCCTAAATAGGTGTTGCCATCTCTTTTCAACATATGTTGCATCCCACAAAATAGAGAAGGAAGAACAAGAAAAGAAAAGGTGAAGTTCGAGGATACGGTGTACTTTATTCCTGTGCAGCCCCGGTCCTGATGCTTTTGCCGTATGGAATATCTGTTCTAGATCACATGTCCCACTGCCTATGGATCTCCACTTCCCCCTTTTTTTTTTTTTTTAAGATTTTATTTATTTTTAGAGAAAGAGAGCGCACGAGCAGGGGGAAGGGCAGAGGGAGAGGGAAAAAGAATTTCAAGCAGACTGAGCGCAGAGCCTGACGCAGGACTTGATCTCACGACCCTGAGATCGTGATCTGAGCCGAAATCGAGTCAGATGCTTAACCGACTGAACCACCCAGGCGCCCCCAGACCCCCACTTCTTACGGCAGTTGTTCAAACCTGCTTGTGTGAGCAGGTATTCATACTAGGAGTTTGGGGGGCAGGGGGCTGCTGCTTCCATCTGGTGGCAACATTCCTCTTGTCCTGGTTACACCGAGGTTTTGAGCAAGCTCCACCATAGTTCTCCCCTCCCAAAGGGAAACACTCTTTGCTGTTGTTTCCCTTGAGCTTCTAGAACATTATGCTCCATATCCTGGCTGTCACCTGTGCTATGTGGTAGGCCTTATGGAGACATCCATATTGGCTCTGGCTCCCAGATGGCTTATTAATTATTTCCAGGCGGTGGGTGGGAATGCTGCTGAATACACTATTTATTTTGATGGGATTTTTTGTCATGACTGTGAATTCAACAGCATTACAGTTAACACATTATTTTTTTTTTAAGATTTTATTTATTTGAGAGAGAGGGTGAGAGAGAAAGCAAAAGCTGGGAGAGAGGCAGAGGGAGAGGGAGAGAGAATCCCCAGCAGACTCCCTGCTGAGCGCAGAGCCTGACGCAGGGCTCAATCTCACGACCCCGAGATCATGACCTGAGCCAAAACCGAGTTGGATGCTTAACCGACTGCGCACCCAGGTGCCCCCAGTTAACACCTTATTTATCTAGAGGTTATATTTCCAATAACTTTGATTATCTGAAATATCTGAGTAATGAAAATGACACTATAAAGCCGTTTTTTTCCTCAGATACTTACTTTAGAAACTGTTGGTTCTCTGCTTTCTTACCTTAACCAGGACTGGAACAGAAAACAGCCTGATAGGAAGAAGACAGAAACCATGAAAAATAGACACAAGAATTATAAAAAAAGTATAGCAGTCAGGGGCCACTGATACGAAGATAAACTTTCCATCACAGTATTAGGACATAGACAGTTCTTAGGTGTGTAGTTATAACTCCTGAGTCATCAACAGACAGCACTAGGTGTAATTTATTCCTGTTTAAGGTGATAGGAAGTAGTTTAATACATTTTCAGGGGCACCTGGGTGGCTCAGTCATTAAGCGTCTGCCTTCGGCTCAGGTCATGATCCCAGGACCGCAGGAGCCCCGCATCGGGCTCCCTGGTCAGCGGGAAGCCTGCCTCTCCCTCTCCTACTTACCCTGCTTGTGTTCCCTCTCTC